AAAATAAAAAAAATAATATATTTCTTCAAATTTGTGTTTTTTTTACATTCAATTTTTTTAGAAGTAAAGAAATTTTTTGTATTAAATATTTTGAAAAGATGACTTTATTATAAATAAGTAGATAGTTATCACGTCGAATCGAATGAAGTGAGCAATTATTATACACACGGAGATGGAAGTATATATATATACAGTGAATTTCAGAAAGGGCGAGGACGACCCTTCTAGAACACTGTCACGTTTGCACGAGTGCTGGGGCGTTCTTTTACATCATAAGTACAGTACAGTGAATGAACATCATTCCTCAAACACTTATTCACAGCCATAACAATATATATCGTTCCAATGATAAATCGTTTCATTATTTTTGCATATTTCTCACACAAAACTTGCGTTTCTTTTGCTATTCTATTTATTTATTTATTTATTTTTTTAATTCTTAAAAATTAAATTTAATTTCAATTCTTTTAATTCCTCTATTTTTTGTACTAAATTGACATTCGCTAAATTGGCAACAAAATTTTTTTCTTAACCTAACAATAATTTCAATAAATATATTTTAATTACGATTAAAAGTCAATAAACAATCGTAAATTATTATTAGATATTATTATTAAATTATTATTAAATTATTATTAATAATAATAATAATAATAATAATAATAATAATAATAATAATAATAATAATAATAATACTAATAATAATAATTATTATTATTATTATTATTATTATTATTAATTATTATTGTTGGAAAATTTCAGATTTAAATTTCAAATTAGAAAATAAATAGAAAAAAGACAAAAAGTCTTCTACTTTTGACCTAAATTTTTTGCCTTCTTGGCAAACGATCGTAAATTGAAAAATTTAGGTCAAAAAGGCGAACGATAGTAAATTAAAAAATTTAGGTCAAAAATAGAAGACGAAAGGGCCAAACAATCGTAAAGTAAAAAATTTACGTCAGAAGTAGAAGAAGAAAAAGCAAAAGATATTCCTTTAAATTTAGGTCAAAGGGGGAACAAGTAACTTACAAAGTTAGGTCAAAAGGGGGATACGTAACATATAAGAATTTAGGTCATAGCTCCTAAAAAGGTCAAACAAAGATAGAAATTTATAGCCGAATTTGCAGTTTGAGGTCAAAAATAGGTCAAAATTTTAATTTTATTGTAGACGAACAAAGAGTTAATAAATTTAGGTCAAATAAATTCGCAGCTCGAGTGCCATAATTTTTTATATCAATTTTCAGGTCAAGAATGCGCAAACACATTTTAAATTTAGATTAAATTCAAAATTTAATAAATCCGAATCAATTTAGATCAATATTTGTAATTTTTGCAGTTTATTCTATAATTTTTTTTTATTGCCCTTAATTATAAAAACGTATAATTAATAAGAGTTCGGAAAAAATATTTTTTAAATTCAAATTACAGTTTAGAAATAAAAAAAAGATATTTTTTGACAAAGAAAGAAAAAAAAGAAAACGAAGAAGAAGAGATTTGAAATGTACGAGTCTTGCTGGGGATATAAATTCAGTGGATAATTAATGATCACATAACGAAAGTAAATTTCTAATTAACTATATATATCCATGGCTTATGAATATTAATTTTGCACATCACGTTCATTATATCAAAACCATCATTAATAGTAATTATTTTCGAATCTCAAATATTAAACCGCGTGTCTTTCCTCTGTTTTGTTCAAAAACCTAATGAGCTTATTTTTTTCTTTCGATTCTTCTCTCTATAGGTCAGAAATTAAATTATTCATTTTTCAGTAGGGAAAAAAATATATAAAGGAAAATGAAAATTAATTTCTTTGAATGAAATCATTTTGCATTTGAATCACTTCATTTTAAAATTTAAAGAAAATATTTTAAACGAAAATAAATTTTCCTCTTAGGTTTTAAAAACATTTAAATTTTTTTCTTTAGACTGACGATAAATTGGATTTACTACTTAAAAATGTTAAAAATTCAATAATTCAATTAATCAATATTTGTGATTATTCATTGTACCTTTAATAAAACTTCTTCTTGAAGATTGTCTGACTATTGAAAGATTTTTCTACTTAAAACGAAATTATTTTTTAACAAATTGCTAACAGAAAATTCAAACAAAGTTCTGCAAAAAATTAATTTCACCATTGCTTTTAGAAACAATTATTAATTTTTCTTTAGTCTGACTATAAACTGGATTTACTACTTAAATTTAAAAACAAATTTTAATTATTTTGATTCATCAATATTTGTGACTGTTAATTGCTATTTATCAATTTTTCAAAAAAGTACTTTTTTAACAACTGACTTGACTATTATTAGACTATTCCACTTGAAATTAAATAATTTATAGATTATTGCTAACTTAAATAAATTTATAATTAATTCATCAATAAAATATTTTTGCCTTTGGATTAAAAAAATATTCTAATATTAAAATTAAGTCTTTCTTCTCTCTGACTATTATAAGGGTTTTCTACTTAAAACAACATAATTTCTAAAAAAAAATTTTAATAGAAAATAAGTTTATAACAAAGTCAGCAAAAAAATAATTTTTCCTCTCTGAGTTTAAAAATATTTAAATATTATTTTCCAGTCTGACTATTAATTGGATTTACTAATTAAAAATGTTGAAATTTTTAATAATTCGATTATTTTACAATTAAATTTTGCACAAGAATAATTTTTCTCCTTTGATTTTTAAAACGGTTAAATATTTTTCTTTAGTCTGACTATACATTGAATTTACTACTTAGAAATGTTTAAAGTTTTTAATAATTTAATTAACTACTATTTGTCATTGTCTGACTATTGACAGATTTTTCTACTTAAATTAAATTATTTTTAACAAATTGTTAACAAAAAATAAGTTTATAAAAAAATCACCAAAAAAATAATTTTCCATCTTTGAATTTAAAAACATTCAAATATTTTTCTTTAGTCTGACTATAAATTGGATTTACTACTTAAAAGTGTTAAAAAATTTAATCATTCGATTAATCATTATATATGATTATTTTTTGTTTCTTTAAAAATAACTTCTTCTTTATAGTTGTCTGACTATTGACCGATTATTCTACTTAAAACTAAAATATTTTTTTTTTTAATTGATACTAGAAAATTAATTTATAACAAAGTCAACAAAAAATTATTTCTCTCTTGGTTTTAAAAGAATTTATTTAATATTTTTTATTAGTCTGACTATAAATTGGATTTACTACTTGAAAATGTTAAAAAATGTTAATAATTCGATTAATCAATATTTGTGATTATTTATTATTTCTTTAAAAAAAACTTCTGCTTGATAGTTGTCTGACTATTGACAGATTTTTCTACTTAATATTAAATTATTTTTTAACAAATTGCTAATAGAATATTAATAAATAAGAAAGTCGGCAAAAAATCCATTTTACCTTTGCTTTCAGGAACAATAACTTTCTATAGTCTGACTATAAATTGGATATACTACTTAATTTTTTAAAAAATTTTGATAATTTGATTAAATAATATTTGTGATTGTTTATTATCATTTATTAATTAAAAAAAACTTTTTCCTAAAGATTGTCTGACTATTGACAGATTTTTCTACTTAAAACTAAATTATTTTAAACAAATTGCTAACAAAAAATTAATTTATAACAAAGTCTGCAAAAAATTAATTTCACCTTTGCTTTTAAAAACAATAATTTTTCTTTAGTCTGGCTATAAATTGGATTTACTACTTAATTTTTTTTAATTTTAGTAATTCTAATCTTAAATCTAAAGCCTGTAGATTTATAAATAAATAGTTTCGATTAACCAATATTTGTGATTGTTTATTGTTATTTATATGAAAAAAAAATTTTTTCTTGAAGATTGTCCGACTATCGACAGACTTTTCTACTTAAAACTAAATTATATTTTAAACAAATTGATAACAGAAAATAATTTTATAATAAAGTTATCAAAAAAATAATTTTTTCTCTTTTAATTTAAAATCATTCAAATATTTCTCTGTAGTCTGACTATAAATTGGATTTACTACTTTAAAAATATTAGAAAATTTAATACAAAGTTTATATTTCGTTCAGTTTAAAAGAATTTATTTTCATTCCGTCTAAATTTTTTTTTCCAGCCTGCAAAGAAAAAAAAATATAAACGAAATGAAAATAAATTCTTTTTCAAAAATTAGTTTTTCCTTCTTTTCTCTTTTCTCCATTCTTTTTTCTTTCTTTTTTTTCGTGGAAAAAAGAAATAACGATAAATGTTAGAAAGTATCAGAAATTGTGGCGGGAGTTTTTTTTTTTTATCATCTCCAATAGGCGTTAATAGTCAAGAGTTTGCAAGGCCGGTAAACGGGTTTACCACAAGATTGCTCCGCGAGGAGGAAACCTTCCAATCGTTCGCCGGATGTCCTTCGTGCTTCGTCTTTCCTTTGATTCTCATTCTCCCTCTTTAAGTCTCTTCATAGCGCCCCTTCCCCTCCCCCCTCAACTTGTTCCCTTCGTCGCGTTCATTCCCTTCTTCATTATTTTATTGCCCACGAATCAATCGATTTTCGCGAGACATTATAGAACTTGATTTTTTTTAATTCCCCCCCCCCCCTCCGTTCCCTTTCGTTTTCATTTCTACAGAAAGAAACAGAAGAGGACGAATATTTTTTTAAATTAAGTAAATTTTTCCCCTTCAATAATAAAATAAAATATTTCACGTTTCACTTTTTAGTGATTTTTTTTTGCCTTTTTCCCTTAAAAATTAATTAGCAAATTAGTCGCAAAACGATTTTGAGTCTGGAAAAATTCCTAAATTTACGAAATGAATTTTTTTTCTTCAAAATTTATTATATATTTCTTTATTTTTAGTGACAATTTATAATTAGAAAATTGTATTTTTATTTCTCACTGAAAAGAACATATTTTAATAATTTTTATTCCTTACATTTTTTTTCAATTTTTTAAATATTGAATTTGAAATTTTTAATGTATAATCGCTGATTATTTTTTGCCTTTGTGGATTGAATTTCAGTCTGGAGATGGATTTAATCGCCTATCGGAATCAGTAAACGATGTTAGTTCTGGATACTGTGCGAACTTTTTATCAACGACGTCAAATTGCGAGAAAAATCAACGGGGTAAGTTATTTAAAATACAAAACTTTTTCTGAATAAGTATTAAGTGGAAAAATCTATGAATAGTCAGACATAGGAAAAATTTTTTTTTTTGTTTAAACAATTTTTTCAGTAGAAAAACCTAGTAACTGTCAGACACGTAAATTTTCGTTACGTAACCACAATAATTACCGATTAACAATTAATAAACAGTAATTGTGTTTACAAACACAATTTTTATTATAGAAATAATAGTTATTTTTACTGAAAAAATCCCGTCAGTGAAAAATTCGAGTACTAGTCAGACAAAGGAAAAAAATTATTAATGAATTGCTTATAAACTTTTTTTTCTATTTTCCTATCGAATTTTAATTTAATACTTTTAATTATTAGTGACAATATACAAAATTTAGTTTTTTGTATATTATTCCTTTGTAAGTAGAGAAGCCTGTCAATAGTCAGACCTACAAGAAATTATTTTTTTAGGTAATTAATTAATATCAAGTAAATAAACACAATTTTTTTTCATACAATTTTCACTAATTTTTTTTAGATTAAAAAAAGTTTTTAAGTAGAAAAATCTACTAATAGTCAGAAATTAAGAAACTTATAGTAAATTCGTGTAACAATAGTTTTAAAACTGAATTAATTATTTTTAAGTAGTAAAAATAGTTACTTGTCAGACATAATCAACATTTACTTTTCTGTAAATTATTTCTTACAAGTAGAAAAACCTGTTAATAGTCAGACATTCACGAAATTAATTTTTGTTGGATAATCGCAGTAATTATGATATTTTATAAACGAATAGAATTTTTGTTATACAATTCTTACTGATTTTTTGTTTATGAAAAAATGTTTCTAGTAGAAAAATCTAGTAACAGTGAGACATTAAAAAATTATAGTGAATTGAGGAAACAATTTTTTCTATATACTAACTTAAGTAGAAAAATTTTTAATTCTCAGTCAAAATATAAACTCTACTTTTTTGTGAATTATTCCCTGTAAGTGGAAAAATCCATCAATAGTCTGACTTTTGCGAAAATAGTTTTGAAAGTATTTTTAAGTAGTAAAATCTGTCAACTATCAGACATTTAAATAAAAGTTTAATAATTTAGTTAAAGTAGTTTTTTTCTATTAGATATGCTACAGTAGAAAAATCGTGTAATAGTCAGACGAGTCAAAAAATGGCTGAAAAATTATTTAAAATATAAATAATTAAAAAAAAGTATTTTCTAAAGAAAAGTTACTATTAATGTATTTTTTAATGTGTATTATTAATATTATTTTTACTTTATCATTAATAATAAATTATTAATAATTATTTTTACTTTATTATTATAATAATAAATTCTTAATAATTATTAGTAATAAAAATTTTGAACATAAATATAAATATTAAAATATAAATAATATAGTGTTCAAAAATAAATAATAATGTATAAATATAAATAAGATGAGATGAGACATCAAGGTTTGAACATAAATTGTACACATGTAGTGGTGGGTTTATTCACTTACATATGTGTATAATTTCAAGTAGTATGAGTTGAAGTAGTTAAGAAGAAGGGAGGGAGAAACCGCCCTCTGAAAAACGCTGTCATTCGCAGACACGACGACCCGTCGGCAGGTCGACGTCTTATATACTCTATGTAACACACGGTCGACAATATTTATTTTCGCATGAGACTTTGAGATCGTTGATCGACTCTATCATATCACATGTTTTTGCTTCGCTTACAAAAGCCTCTAATTTCGAGTCGAAATGTTACAAGGAAGGAGGAGAAAAAGGTATAGAAGAAAAAAAAGCTTTGCTCAAAAATCTATCAGACGTTTATATTTTATAAAGAAATATATTTATTTCTTTATAAAATATAAACCTTTTCAGTTTTTAAAAATTAATAATATAGAATTTATTTTTTTTGTCTGACTATTTTTTAGGCTCTTCTACTTAAAACCATAATAATAAAAAAAGAAATTAGTTTTCTTCTGTCTGAGAATTTATAAATTTTTCTACTTTTATAGCAAAATTCATTATAAAAAACAAAATTTTAATTTCTTTAAATTCAAAGTTTTTTTTTTTGCCTGACTGATACTTGTAGCAACTACTTAAAATTATATTAATTATTAATTGATTATTACTGTTTAATTGAACAATTAAAAAATTTAATTGTTAATTAAAATTAACAACAAAATGTCAGCTTTAAAAAAGGAAGAAAATAATAATGTTTTATAAAAAAAACAATAAAAAATAAAAAAAAAAAACAAAAAATAAAAATAAATACAAAAATTATTATTATTATTATTATTATTTTATAATAAATAAAAACAATTTTTTTTTATGAAATTAGTTTCTGCGTCTGAAATTATCTTCTAAACTTAAGAAACTCTAATTTTTCTGTCTGGCTATTTGTTTGGTTTTTCTACTTAATACCGAATAATTAAAAATACTTAGTTTTCTTCTATGACTGACCATTGATATATATTTCTACTTAAATATAGTAAAATCCATTATACAACGAAACAAAATTTAAATGTCTTCAAATTCAAAAATATATTTTTTGTCTGACTGATACTTGTAGCAACTACTTAAAATTATATTAATTATTATTTAAATTAATATTTATTAATATATTAACATTTTTTTATTGTTATTGTATAGTGTCTGACTAATACAAGATTTTTCTACTTAAAAATATTATTTATTAGATTCAATTCACATATGGTTTGAATTTAATATTTTGGCATCCAATGAAACAAATTTTTATTATAATAATTTATAAATAAATAAATAAACAATTTTTTTTAATAGAATTAATTACAATTGAATACACAATTCATTGTCTTGAATACAGCAAAAGGACAATATTTTTTATATTGAAATTATTTTCTAATCTTGTAAAACTATAATTTTTTGTTGTCTGACTATTCAATAAGTTCTTCTACTTAAAAATAGAATAATTGGAAAAAAATTTCAATTTTCTCTTATGTCTGACTATTGACAGATGTTTCTACTGAAAAATAGTAAAACTTAGTCAAATACTATACAAAAAACAGTGGTGTTAAAAGAAAATTTTATTTTTTGAATTTTAACCCTTAGTCGATTTTTTTCTGTCTGACTATTACTTACTATTTCTACTTAACAACTCTTGGATTCAAAAAGTATTTATTATTAATTAAATTTATATTTATTATTATATTAACATTTTTTTTTATAGATAACTGATTATTGAATATTGTCTGACTAATACGAGATTTTTCTACTTAAAAAATATTTATTTATTAGTTTTCATTCACACAGCTGGTTTGAATTTGAGTTTTTTGTTAGACAATCAAAAAAATTGCTCGAATAATAATTTTTAAATAAATAAACAAAAAGTCTAGTATAAAAATAAAAAGTTTTAATTTTTACATGTCTGACTATAAATAGATTGTTCAATAAACTTAACAATTGTTTGAAACTTTCAAAAAGTTCTTTACAGGATTTTTAATATTACCTAATAATTATAAAAATATATGAAGAATTATTATTTCGAAGTAAAAAAAAAAAATTGTTAAGCAGAACAAAAATATTTCTTTAAAAAAATAATTTCCTTTATTTTTCTTAACTATTTGATGTTTAAATTCACCGACAAAGTTCATATTTAAAAAGGTAGTAAACTGACAAAAAGGGATTTTTTAACTTTTGCTAACAATGTAGAAAGAAAATTGAATTATGGTTATGCCAAACCGTTTTCCATTACAATACGGTCAATTTACAGTGTGGTAGAAAATTTTCACAACCACAAACTAAAGTCGTCATCTCCTATGATGCCAATTTTTGAAATTACATCCAAAAATAATCCAAAAAGTTGTTTCCAAATTTTATTGTTACAACAAATTTCTATCATCGCTTCTCGAAACAGAATTTTTTTTTTCATTTTTCAAAACGTGTTTGACTAATGAATAATTTTACTACTGCAAATTTTTATACTTTTATTTTTTATACTTTGATTCATCAAATATTTTTAACAGTCAATTGTTATTTAACCTTTTCTTAAAAAAGTACTTTTTTTGACAAGTGTCTGACTATTACTAGACTTTTTCACTTAAAATTAAATAATTTATAAAAAATAGCGAACAAAAAGAAATTGATTATAATTCCAGCAGAAACATAATTTTTTCCTTTAGTTTTTAGAAAAATATTTCAATATCAAAACTACGTTTCTTGATAAGTGTCTGACTATTACTAGACTGTTCCACTTAAAATTGAATAATTTATTAATTTATAAAAAATTACGAACAAAAAGGAATTTATAATAAATCCAGCAAAAATACAATTTTTTTCTTTAGTTATTATAAAAATATTTCAATATTAAACTTACGTCTTTGTCTTGTTTGACTATTGTCGGGGCTTTCTACTTAAAAAGTTAAAACTAGATAATTTCTACGAAATTGTTAATAGAAAATAAATTATAATAATAAAAGCTTGCAAAAAAATTATTTTTTCTCTAGTTTGAAAAATATTTAAAGATTTAATATTTGCTATCTTCAGTCTGACTATAAATTGGATTCACTACTTAAAAAAATTATAGTTTAAAAATATAATTCTTTTCTCTTTTTCGACCATTATCTGGATTTTTTCCTTCAAAAAAATTATGACAATGCCTATAAAAATTAATTAATTTTTTTGTGAAGAAATTTCTATTTTTCTCGTCTGACTATAAATTGAATAATCTACTGAAAAAAGTAGTTTCTAAATTCTAAAAATTATTAAAACTACTGTAATCTATTTCTCTTTAGAAATTAAAATATGTAATTTGATTTTTTTCTCCTTGGAATTTTTTCACGTCTGACTAACGAATAATTTTACTACTGAAAAATATTTTTTAAATACTTTCTAAGTATTTTTCATAAAAAATTTTAAATACTTTAATTCATCAATATTTCTAATAGTTAATTGTTATTGATTCGTTTTTCAAAAACTACTTGTTCGACAAGTGTCTGACTATTATTAGACTTTTCCACTTAATGTTAAACAATTTTGAAAAACTTGCTAACAAAAATAAATTTTTAATAAATCTAGCAAAAAAATAATGTTTTCTTTATAGATTTTATAATTTAATAATTTTTATTTCGTTTATGTAATATTCGCTGTTTTTTCGTCTGACTATTATCTTTTTTTCTCCTTAAAAAGGAAATGAATTAAAATCGAAATGAATTAATTTGATTTGAATTAATTCGATTTGAATTAAAAACGAAAAGGGTTTGAAAAATAAACCAAAAAATAGAAACGTTTGCTAAAATTAGTTTTTGTTGAAGAATCTTTTTTTATCTAAAGAATTATTAATTCTGTTATTATTAATTATTAATTCTGCTACTAAAGAATTTCTTTTTTGTTTTTTTCTTTTTCTTTTCTTTCTTTTTTTTTTTTTGATAATGTACAAAAGTGATTGAATAAGTTGAAGGGCATTATAGGCGATATAGGAAAATAAAAGGGCCGTCCCTCACTTATTGGGGAATTTGAAATAAGAAATTCCCATGTCCATTGGAATTGCATCCCTACGCTGTTGGATTTTCCCTTCGATAATTGACACTTTACACCCAGCATTGACTGTGTATTTGCAACCGACAGTACGAACCAACCAACCACCCATAATTCGATCATAACCTATAATGCCGCAATTTCTCTATCGTAATCGTATTACGCAACAACCTCACACCTTTCCTTTTTTCACGTTTTAACTTTTTAACAAACCCTTCGAATAAAAATAGATCACTCTCAATTCTACCCCACATATACAAAAAAAAAGTCGAGATGAATTTCGATGTAAAATGTGTGTCAATTTTTTCTTTCATTTCTTTTTTTTTATTACATTTATTACATTAAATTTTATTTATAGTTTATTTTTATTTTATTATGTTACATAAAATTATTTATGTATTATTTATTATTTTATTTATTATTCAGTATTATATTATATTTTGAATTCTTTTTAATCTCGGGAAACTGTGACTTTTGTCTGACTATTTAATTGGTTTTTTTACTTTTAATAATAAAATAAAATTGATAATAATAATTTTTTAAGACAACTGTAAAAACTTGTTTACTTATTGTCTGACTAATGCATGATTTTTCTACTTCAAAATATTTAAAAGTCAAAATATTCAAAATTGGCTTTTTTGTAATATTTAGAATAATTTTTTTATAATATTTCTAAATAAATAATTTTTTTACACAAATAATTACAATTTATAACAAAATATTTGTTTCAAAAAGAAAAAAAAAATATTGTTTAAGATTAAAATTAGATTTTGGGTTTGAAATTATTTTCCTAAACTTAAGTATAATTATAATTTTTTGTCTGACTTTATAAGGTTTTTCTACTTAAAGCCTAAATTAAAAAAAACTTAAATTAGTTTTGGGTTTGAAATTATTTTCCTAAACTTAAGTATAATTATAATTTTTAGTCTGACTTTATAAGGTTTTTCTACTTAAAACCATAATAATTACAAAAAAAAATTACAGCTTTCTTTTATGTCTGACCTTTGACAGATTTTTCTACTGAAAAATAGTAAAACTTAGTCAAAAACTACAATTTTGTTTTTTCAATTACGTTTTTGTATTGTCTGACCAAAGCAAGATTTTTCTACTTAAAAATATTTTTATTTATAATTCTAAAAATAAGAATTACATAAATTACATAAGTTACAGAAAAATGTCCGATCAGTTATTTACTTGTTCCACTGAAAATCTTAGCTAAATTTAACAAAAATTTCTAGTTCAATGAACAGTGATAATTTATTGCAAATTATGTGCCCTAATTTGAAAAATACATCAGCTGAGTTATCAATTGAATTTTCTCTTTTCACTTGAGAATTCGATTTGTCGAGGAAAATCTGAATTCGAACAAAACAAAGTTAACGTCAAGTGGCTACCCGTGGCGAATCTCAGTGTAACATTAAATCATTCCCCCCTCTTCTATATTATATACACTCTCGCATTTTATCATTTTCTACATGATTCTAATTTTATTTCACTCATCAGAAAACTTTATTTTCGAGAGCAATGACTCACTTTCTAAATTGACATTGAGAAAAATTTATTTATTTTCACAAATTCTTCTATTGGACATTTTTTTCAAATGAATTTTTTCAATAACAAAATATTTGTTTATCTAAATAATCAGTTAGATGAACCATCATAAAATTAGTATTATTTTAGTATTATTTAGTATTATTTAGTAACTATTATTATTAATTAATAATATTTTTTTATTATTATTCATTATTATTATTTATTTCTAGTAGGAGTTTCTTTTAATATAGAATATTATTTTATGAATATAATTTATATTCGAATCTTATTTTTATAAATATTGAATTTTAGAATTAAGAATTAAGATATTATAGGTAATATTGGTAATTTTTGATTATTGGAATATTTAAATATATTTGAAATTTTCGAAAATAATTTAAAATACTATTAAATATCTTTTTGCTTTTGATTTTAGAGAGTGACATTTATCATAATCAGGAGTATCGACATGAACCTTGGCTTCAAGATGGTGAGTATATTTTTTAAGTTTTCAATTTTTTTAAATACTGTCTTAATTTTTTTTTTATTTTAATTTTCATTAATATTTTTTTAAAATAAAATTTCGGTTTTCTCTAATTTCTTTCCATTTCCACTTTCTTATAATATCATTTTTAAATACTATTTTATTTCAATTCAACTCAATTGTATTCAATTCAGTCCATTGTATATTTTGTTTGTCTGACTGTTACTTGCAGTAACTACTTAATATTATATTAATTATAAATTAAATTTCTTATTATAATAATTAATAAGAATATTTTTTAAATAACTTAATAAATAATTTTAACTAATTTAAACTAATTTAATTTAATTTTTAATTTTAATTTTTTAATTTTCATATTTTAAGAAACTATTTATGAACAAAAAAAATAATATTTAATTTAAAAATAATATTTATGAACCAAATTTTCTTTTCTCATAAAGTTTTTGATTTATTGAAAAATTTATAACTTTGAATGACTTCCACTGTCAAGAAATTTCTAGTTACTGCCTTCAATTAAATACAATACTAAACAAAAATAGAATTCAATATATATTCAGGTTAATAGTTCTAAGACTATAATTTTTTTCTTGATCGTGTTCGATGACAAGTGTAAAGCACATCAAAGAAATGACAGGTCAAAGAAATATAACATTGACGAATCGTGTTTTCAATAAAAGAGCGTGAAAAAAGAAAAAAAAATAATAGCAAAAAAAAAAGAGAAGCAAGTCGCGCAATTTTGTAATTGCCCCATCGACACTTCCATTAGTTTGATTAGTTGTTAGTGGTGACTGGTGCCAAGGGAAAATATATCAAAGGGACATATCAAAAAGTCTTAAATGGAGAATCATTAAAAAATTGTTTAGAATTTTCAATTTTTACAATTGCAGCTGAAAAAAGGTTTTTTTCAATTTTTCCAAACAAAAAAAATTTATTAATTATAATTAGAATAATTAATTATTAATTAAATTCAGTTAAAGTAAATTTATTATTAATTTTAATTCTATAACAATAATTTATTTATATTTTATATATTTATAATTTACATATTTCGAGTTTTCTACTTTAGAAATATTTTATAAGAATTTTTATTCTCCTAGATTTGTCAAATTTGCGTGTTTTCGCAATTTTTACAATATTTCGAAATAAATATTTTTTTTACAAAAATTAATTATAATTTATTAAAAAATATCGCTTCAAAAAAACTTTTAAAAAGAGAAGAAAGAAATATTAAATTGAGATAGAAATTAGTTTCTGGGTTTGAAATTATTTTCTAAACTAAAAAAAATCTAAATTTCCTTGTCTAACTATTCATTAGGTTCTTCTACTTAAAACTATAATAATTAGAAAAAAATTGAAGTTTTTTTTTATGTCTGACCACTGGCAACTTTTTCTACTTAAATATAATAAAATTCATTGTAACGAAACAAAATTTTAATTTCTCTAAACTCAAACCATTCTATATTGTTTGTCTGACTGTTACTTGCAGTAACTACTTACAATTTTATTAATTATTAATTAATTAATTGAATTAATATTAATTATGGTACTAACATGTTTTTGTCAAAAACTAGTTTTTATAGTGTCTGACTAATACGAGTTTTCTCTACTTGAAGTAATTTTATAAGATTTTTATTGTCACAGATTTATCAAACTTGAGTAATTTATGCAATTTTTTCCAATAATTTTTTATAATCTTTCAAAATAAATAAGTATTTTTACAATAATTAATTAAAATTAACAACAAATTAAATATCAGAATTAAAAATGGGAAGAAAAAAATAATGTTGGATCGATGGAAATTAGTTTCTGTGTTTGAAATTATCTTCTGAACTTAAGAAACTCTAATTTTTTGTCTGACTATTTGTCAGGTTTTTCTACTTAAAACTATACCGAATAATTAAAAATAATTAGTTTTCTTCTATGTCTGACTATTAATATACATTTCTACTTAAATATAGTAAAATTCATTATACAACGAAACAAAATTTAATGTCTTTAAACTCAAACCAATGTATATTTTTTGTCTGATTGTTACTTGTAGTAACTACTTAAAATTATATTAATTATTATTTGAATTAATATTAATTATTATTATGCTAACATGTTTTTGGCAAAACTAGTTTTTGTAATGCCTGACTAATGCAAGATTTTTCTACTTGAATTTATTTTATTATAAGAATTATTATTAGAAAATGTAATTTCTTTTTGTCTGACTATTTACTAGGTTCTTCTACTTAAAACTATAATAATTAAAAAAAAACCTGCAGTTTTATTTTGTCTGACCATTGATAGACTTTTCTACTTAAATACAGTAAAATTTAATATAACGACTAATACGAAACAAAATTTTTATTTTTTCAAATTCAAATTCATTGTACATTTTTCTTGTCTGACTGTTACTTGCAGTAACTACTTAAAATTATATTATTATTTTACTAACATTTTTTTTACAGAACTAGTTTTTATAGAATAATTAATTATTTACGATTTAGTTATAATTGTAATTTATTAATAATTTATTTATTTAGAATTTTAGATTCAATGAGAATTACTAAAAATAATTTACTAAAGTGAAATAATTACGAAAAATAATAATTTGAAGTATTTTTTTTTAATTACAGGTAGCAGTTGTGAGACAGAAGATAGTGAACACTACATGACGGATTTTCAAAGAAATACCAGTAAGTACACTTGAAAATATTTTCTATTATACGATTTAATTTAATTAAATTATTTTAATCAGTTTCTGAATTTTAGCAAATTCTAATTAAAAGAATTTTTTTTAAAAAGTGATTTAATAATCACTTTTTAAATTTCTTTTCTAAATTCAAATATAATATTATTTAAATTCAGCTAAAAATTTCGTTCTGAAAAAAAGAGAATTAAAAACAATTATTCCTATTTTATTCTTTAATTCTTCGAAAAAAAAATATTTAATTTCAAAATAAAAAATTAAAGTAAAATATTTTAACTATTGGACTTTTCATTCAAAGGCGAAATTTATTTTTCGTTCGACAAATTTAATTGGAAAAAAAAACTATTATACAGTTCAAATATGATTCGGGAATTGTAAATCAATGGATAATATTATAAACCAAATGCATGCTAAGGAAGGCAATTTCCATGTCAGCGGATGTGTGACGGAAATGTCAAAAGGTGCACGTTAATGTAACAACATCATCATGTTCTGCAAATGTCACTTAAACTGAAGACAATTTCAAATCTGCTTCCGAAGTTTAACATACGCCTTGGAAACTGCCTTCAATTAAATACAATATGCTAAACAAAAATAGAATTCCAAACATCAAACAAACTAAATAAATTTTTCTTTCTCTTATTTCGTATTTTTCGATTTTTCTTTTTGTTATTTTTTAATTTTTTCTTTTTGTAATTTTTAAAAATTCAAAATTTCGTTTTTGTTTCATTATTATTACCATCATTATTATTCAAATAATAAGTAAATATTTAATTGATAATAGTCAATCGGTTATTTGAATCAAATAAATTTTTTTTTCAGTGTAGTTAATAATAAGTATTTATTAGTTTTTACTATTATTATTATCATTATTAATTATTTCTTTTTTCATTATTATTGACCGAATGAATGAATATTATTTTTATTAAAGAATTAAATAGTTATTTTTATTACAGAATTAATTAGTTATTTTTATTAAAATATTAATTAATTTTTACCAAGCTATTTATTTTCTTTCTTTTTTTTTAATTAATTTATTATTTAAATTTGAAATTTAACACTTTATACAGTTATTTTTATTGTACTGTTAAAATACTATATTCTTGCAAGAAAAAAAAATGTAAAAATTTTAATTACGATTGAAATTATAAATTTATTTGTTCGGTGTAATGAAAAAATTTCAAGACAAAAAAAAGAGATGTTAGACTTTTTTTCTTTTTTTTTTTTTTTTTTTTTTTTTGAACGAAGAACTTTGTGCACAAGAAGTTTATCGCCCAAGAGGTGATTTGAAATGATCCCTCTTGGCTGGGGATTTTTAAATTAGCGCAAAAAAATCAACACAAGACTTCCGTTCCCCGGTCATCGATATCGGATTACGCGAGTAAGCACTTTATATCGACGCTGTATACTTTTTCTGCATAGATAATTTGCCTCCTTCTTTTTCTCTCCCTTATTCTATATTGCTCGCGCGATTTATTTTTCTTTTATCTCATGCTACAAGTTTTAGCTTCTAAAAATTATCTTTCTCTATTAGTCTCTCGGCAGGATTTTTTCATTTTTTCATTTTTTAAATCAAAATTACGCTTAAATTGCATTTTTCATGAAAAACAAGGCAATAAGCTGATTATAATTTGACTATAAACGAAAAATATTAATAATAATAAATTAATTTTTTCTTAACTTTTTGTTACTTTACTTTTTCATTTTTTTTTGTTTCGTACAATTTTTTAATTTTTCTTCTGTATATTTTATTTAGTGATAATTTTCTCTATATTTTCATTTTTTTCTACAATTATTTTCTTTAAATTTAGAAATGAATTTTGAAAATTTTGTTTTTATAACAAGAAGAAGAAAATTATAAAGAAAATTATGAATGAATAATTATTCTCTATTCTTTTCTATAATTAATTTCTTTAAATTTGGAAACAAAATTCACGAATATTGTTATTAAGTAATAATCGAGTGATTCTCGATTCACGAATTTTGTTTCTAAATTTAAAGAATCACTTCAAAAAAAAAATAATTATTCTCTATTTTTAATTTTTTTTTTTATAATTTTCTTTTAATTTAGAAACAAAATTCACGATTTTTGTTATTAAGTAATAATCGAGTTCTTCTTTAAATTTAGAAAAAAAATTCGTAAATTTTGTTTGAAGTTAAAGAAAATAATCTTAAAGAAAAAAATTCCTGAATTTTGTCTGAACGTAAAGAAAATAATCTTTGAAATAAAATAGAAAAAAATTAATAATTTATTATTATAATAAATTTATTATTAATCCATTAAAATAATTTTTTATTCGAAATTAATTCTTTTAATTTATTTATTTATTTATTTATTTTTTTTTTTTTGAAGCAGATTTAAAGTAAATAATAGTAAAAAATGAAAAATTAACTGTATTTACAAATCAACTTTGTTGAAAAGAATTATTTTTCTTTAAATATCGAGAATTATAGTTTTTTTCAAAAAAAAAAATCGAGGAATATTTATTGTTCAGAAAATATGTTTTTGTTCGATGTACATTTTTTTTTATTGTTAAGGAATAATGCAACACTCGCGGCAATATAAATATGAGCGCAACATGTAATAAAGAGTAAAATTAAATTGTGCGATAAATTTTTCGGTAAACAAAGGTAAAATTGAATAAATATGAAGCTCATGTTGTGAAGGGTATTATATCTTCTCATCGAGAGAAGTTAAACCAATAGATTTTCAACCCCTACTGTATATCGGCCCAATTGCCCAAGGGCTGTTTACAATTGTCTAGCGCAGCGCTTATTAATAGCAAACAATAGAAGAATCGAATGTTCAACTAAATCTTCATTCCACATATTATGTCATTCAAAATCAGTTTCTTTTTTCGAATTATTATTTTTAAAAAGTAATATTATTTAAATATTTTTATTTATTAATTATTTGCTGTTCTTTATTTTTTCTTTCTTTGATAAAATTATTTATTTATTTATTTTCCTTTTATTTGTAAAGCTCGGAAATTTTGAAAGTCGAAAATATTTATTTCGCTTCTGTTTGAAATTGGAAAATTTTTAAATGCGAAAATATTTATTTCGCTTTTATTTAAAAGACGGAAAAAATCAAGAGTCAAAAATATTTATTTCGTTTGTACTTAAAAATCGAAAATATATATTTCGCTTTTATTTAAAACTCGAAAATATTTATTTCCCTTTTAATTAAAATTAGAAAAATTCGAAAGTCGGAAAAATTTTTATCAACTGTATTTTAAACTAGAAAATTCAAAAGTCGAAAATATTAACTTCCCTTGTCTTTAAAACTCGAAAAATCCAAGAGTCAAAAATATTAATTCCCCTTGAAATTAAAATTAAAAAAATTCAAAGGTCGAAAATATTTATTTCTCCTTTTATCCATTTTCAAAAACTCAAAAAATTCAAAAGTCGAAAATATTTATTTCTCCTTATTTACATTTTCGAAAACTCGAAAAATTCAAAAAAAGTCGAAAATATTAATTTTTCTTGCAATTAAAGTTATAGAAAAATCCAAAGGTCGGAAAAATTTATTTCTCTTTATTTCCATTTTCGAAAATGCGAAAAATTCAAAAGTCGAAAATATTTATTTCCCTCGAATTTAAAACTAGAAAATTTTGAGGGTCGAAAATATTTTTAAATATTTTCGTTTGTATAATAATCAAAGTTTGAAAAATTCAAATGTCGTTAATACTTATTTTCCCTTTATAGTCAAAACACAAAAAATTGAAAAAATACAAAATGAAAAAAAATTTTTGAATCTCATCTTTTAAATTAAAATAATATTTCGTTTGTCGGTAAAAATAAATTTTGCGACTAAAAATAAATTATATATTTTGTTTAAAATTTTAAATTGAACAGAATGAATTAGTGGATAAAATGTTAATTTTTTTTTGTGCGCGTTTATAAAATGAATTGATTGTACGAAATTTTTGACCTGTACTTCCCACGGCCGAATCTGTTTGATTTATCGAAGTCACCCCTTGAATGGTTTGAATCGTCAGCGCCCCATTACAGTCCCCCCTACTCCACCCACGTGCCATTGCAACGATGCGCCACCTCACTTCCGGTTCGACACGCGTCCTTATGTTTCATTCTGTCCTCTCAAGCGTTTTTCCTTCTCTTTTTATTTTCCAATAAAATCAACAAAGAATACATTTTTTTTCGAATTTTCCACTTTTTTTTCTTTTTTTTTTAATTGCAATTTCTAATTTTTTTTAATTCTTCTTTTCAGGTTGTTGCATTTCCGTAAAATATTTATTTTTTTAGCGGAATATTTTTTTGTATTTCCATTTTTTAGTGGAATATTCTTTTAGTATTTTAATTTTTTTCGATGGAATATTTTTTTAGTATTTTCATTTTTTTAGTGGAATATTTTTTAGTATTTCCATTTTTAGCAGAATATTTCTTTAGTATTTCCATTTTTAGTGGAATATTCTTTTAGTATTTCAATTTTTATAATCGGAATATTTTTTTAGTATTTCTATTTTTACAAGAATATTCTTTTAGTATTTCAATTTTTTCGATGGAATATTCTTTTGGTATTTCTATTTTTTTAGCGGAATATTTTTTTAGTATTTCTATTTTTTAGTGAAATATTCCTTAACTATTTCTGTTTTCTTAGTGGAATATTTTTTAATATTTTTATTTTCCTAGTCGAATATTTTTTGGTATTTCTATTTTTTAGTGAAATATTCTTGCAATAATTCTACCACTTTTTTGAGTAAAATTTTCAAGTATTTTTTTTTATTCCATATGGAATATTTCTTCAACTTTTCCGCAAAATTTCCTAATTGAATTAAATTTCTATAAAGACAAGCAGATTTTATAAATAAAATTAAAATAATTAAAAAGAAAAATTATGAAAAAAAAATATAATAATTTATTTAAAACGTAATTTTTTTTGTATGTGTTTAACAGACAGAAACATGAAGCAGGAATCGAGTTGCAGACAAAGAAGTGATGTTAATTGTCCAACACAATATCAAACACAGTCAACAAATTCACATTCGCAGTCAACAAATTTCTTAAATTTAAGTCCAGCGGCACCTGCGTCGTGTTTCAGGTAAAAATTTTAAAAAATAAATAAAAAAACAAAAAATGGATAAAGTTAAAAAAATAAGTACAAATAAAGTTAAAAAGAAAAATCAAATAAAGTGAAAAAAAATAAAAAATAAGTAGTATAGACAAAATTAGAAAAAATAAAATTTGGTACAGAAATAAAATTACCTTAATATTGTTAACAGTCAATCGAGTCCACGTGCAGAAGGATCGGAAAATATTGCAGTCAAGGAAGAACCAGCCGATAGAGACTTTACCGAATCAACGTCAACAGTTACAAATATTTCATCTCCCGATGCAGAAACGCGAAATTCACGTAAGCTAAATTTTTTTTTCTTTTTGCAAAAATAAATACAAAAAAAGGAATTAATTCCAGATCCAGAGAAAATTTTTATTTTAACAAAATCAAATTTTATTTTAACTTTAATCACTCTCTAAATTTAAATTAGTAAAAGTATTTACTAATTTGTATTTGTGACTGACTTTTTGCTTTTGAATTAGTAAATTTTACTAATAAATAGTTATTTCTATTAATTTATTAGTAAAATCGACTAAATTCAAAAGCAAAAAGTCACTAATTCAAATTAGCAATTTTTAATTCAATTAAATTTCAATTTTAATTAAATTTAATTCAAATTTGTAAATTAGTAAATTTTACTAATAAATAGTAATTTCTACTAATTTATTAGTAAAATCGACTAATTCAAAAGCAAAAAGTCACAAATTCAAATTAGCAATTTTTAATTAAATTAAATTTTAATTTTAATTAAATTCAATTCAAATTTGTAAATTTTACTAATAAATAGTAATTTCTACTAATTTATTAGTAAAATCGACTAATTCAAAAGCAACAAGTCCGTCACTAATTCAAATTAGTAAATTTTTTTACTAATTAAAATTTAGAGAGCAAATAAAATTTATATTAACCGAATACAATTTATTTGAAACAAATATATACATACAAATTTTCTAGAGTCAAATATGTATTTTTTTCCGAACGTATATTAATTACTTGTCATCATTTCTGACAATTAAATTATTTTTCTAAATAAACACTACTCTCAGATATAAAAATTGTAAACTAATTAACTTGAAAAAAAATTCTTTTCTAATTTTCACGTTATTATAAACGAATAATTAAATTAATACTTTTAATGAGGCAAAAATCCACAACATTTTATTGGACGTTAGTCCAATAAAATTTTGTGGATTTTTGTCTCTCTCTCTCTCTCTCTCTCTCAAAAAAAAAAAAAAAAAAATGTGTTGCTCATAGATAAGTGATTCTACAAATTTTGTATCTTCTCTCTTATTTTTGGCGACTTTATTGTATACAATATACTTTAGGGTGTCGATGTACAAAGTCTATGGATAGTCTGAGCGCAGTATTAGGCGGGAGACCGGAAAAGAGTCAAGGTCCGATTAATGACTCGAGACGTGAACCCTCGTTTTTTCTTTATTTATGGGTAGTCTACGGTACAAGTACGCCATGAAAGGGCAATGCAATGTGGATATATATATCCTTTTGTGTATAGATTTGTCACGGTTCAGAAACAACCTAAGAGAAACTCGATGAGGGGGAGAGGGGGGAGAGAATAAATCCAAAAATTATCTATATTATACCCTAAGAGAATTGATTTCCAGTGCAATTTCAATTGAAGAAAATTCGTAAAAGAAAATAAAAAAATCTTCCCCCCCCAAAAAAAAAGTAAAAAAGAAATAAAAATAAAAACGAAATAAAAACAAAAAAAAATTAAATAATAATTTTTTTATTTAAACTAAATAAAAATGAAAGACGAAATAAAAAAAATAAAAATAAAGAAACGAAATAAAAAAAACTAAATAATATTAAAAGGAAATAAAAATAAAAATAAAGAAACGAATTAAAAATAAAAAAAATAATTAAAAATAAAAATAGTGAAAAAGTTCCCTGGAATAATACCGAGAAATTCTCGGGAATCTCTTGTTATCATTCCCCCCCCCCAAAAAAAAACTAAATAAAAAAAAAAAAAAAAAAAAACTAAATAAAAATAAAAACGAAATAAAAAAAAATAATGAAAAATAAAGAAACGAAATAAAAATGAAGAAACTAAATAATATAAAAACGAAATAAAAATAAAAACCAAAATAAAAATAAAGAAACGAAATAAAAATAAAAACCATAATAAAAATAAAGAAACGAAATAAAAATAAAAGAATTAATTAAAAATAAAAAATTAAATGAAAATAATGAAAAAGTTTCCCGGGAATGGTACTGGGAAATTTCTCGGTACCATTCCCGGGAACTTTTTCACCTGGAAAGAATTAAAAAATAAATTTCTTAATTTATTCAAATTTCATTAAACAAGAGAGAAAATTTTCTTTATTATTAAGAAATAAGAAAATTATTTTGAGAAAAAGTAGAAACATTTTTTTTTTTTTTTTGAAGCGAAAGCAAAATGATTTTTTCTATTTCAAAGAAAAAAAAGAAAATAAAAAAAGGAGAATAGAAAAAAAGTAACAACTTCTTGAAAATTATTTTGAGAAAAAGTAGAAACATTTTTTTTTTTTAAGCGAAAGCAAAATGATTTTTTCTATTTCAAAGAAAAAAAAGAAAATAAAAAAAGGAAAATAGAAAAAAAGTAACAACTTCTTATGAGAATGGGACACACAACAGGAATATTCCGTAGGATATGTAATTGAATAATTGAAGAATGCTTTCAACTCGTAGCAGTCGAGAGTATAAGAGAGAGCGAGAGAGTAGATCCTAGATCCAAGCGAAAGCAAACCTTGTTGAAGAAGAAAGCAAGAGGTTTTCTCCCCGGGGAGACTACTGCTACTGTACCAGCCAAAAGCTCTTTGCCTGCCTCTTAACTAAAATGTCCAAGAAATCAATTGACAGGCCTTTTACTTAAGCACTACAGTATTACATTAATTAATTAAAATTTCGTTTGCGAATATTTCAAAAATACTTCAATATTCCAATATTCCAATATTCAAGATTTAATATTTTAATATTTCAATATTCAATATTCCAGATTTATTATTTTAATATTCAATATTAAAAATTTAACATGGATATTCCATTGGAATATTGAGGATATATTTGAAATACTCCATTGGAGTATTCAAGGAATATTTAATAGAAATATTACTTTTCAAGTTCAAAATTTTTGCAATTAAAAATAAATTGATGAATTTATTTAAATGCAGAGAAATATTCCAGGAATGTGAATGGAATATTCCCTGCTATTGGGGTTATTAACTAAATAATTTTCTATTCTCCCTATTTTTTATTTATTTTCTTTTAATAGGAAAAATAATTTTCCTTTCGCTTCATTATTTATAAAATATTAGTTTTTTTTTTTGACTTTTTTTTAATTAAAAAATTTATTAAATTATTATTGTTTTTTGCAGTTTCTTTATCCTCGTTAATAAATTAATTTTTAAAGTTAAAAAATATTTTACTGTTCACATAATTTTTTTTTATTTAAAAAAAATGTTTATTAAATTTAAAAATGTTTTAAACGTTGGGCTGAAATATTAAAATTTTTGTTTTTTGTTTTTGATGCAAATTCATTAAAGCGATAACGTTTATATAAACAAAACATATTGTCGATTACACCTTACTTTGTTTTCACTTGGGGATTACATTTATGCCTCCCTATTTTCTGAATCCTCCCTCCCATTAAACCCCTTCAATTATTTACTCACAGTTTACGTTAATAATAGCCCAGATCCCGGTAGGCATCGATGTCTCAACGCAACGTTTTCGAATCTCGCCTTTTCACCGAAATATGATATGCCAGAGAGAGAGAGAGAGCGAGAATGCTTCAAAAGTCTTGACCCATGGGACTTGACTGAATGCAACAGACTGCATCTACATTATTATTATTAAAATTATTATTATTATTATTATTAATTATTTAAAAACAAATTTTTTCCTAAATTTTTCCATATAAAATTAGTTTCTCTTTGAAAATTTAATTTAGTGAAAAAACTTTGACGAAAAGTTGTAAAAGTATTCCACATAGAATACAAAATAATAACACTTGAATATTTCACTGAAAAAGTAAAAGAAATATTGAAAGAATATTCCACTGAAAAAATAAAAATACTGAAAGAATGATCCAACTAAAAAAAAAATTGTAAATATTTAAAAGAATATTCCACTAAAAATGTAGAAAGACTGAAAAGAATTAATTCACTAAAAAATACGAATACTAAAAAAAATATTCCACTAAAAAATAAAAATACTTAAAGAATATTTCGCTTAAAAATAGAAATAGTAAAAGAATATTCCACTAAAAAGTATAAATACTAAAAAAATATTTCAAAAAATATAGAAATACGAAAAGAATATTTCAGTAAAGTGTAGTAGGAATATTCAAAAAATATTCTACTAAAATAAATATTAAAAGAATAATCCACTAAATAATGGAAATACTAGAAGAATATTTAAATTAAAAATAAAAATAATAAAAGAATATTACACTGTAAAAATAGAAATACTAATGGAATATTCCACTAAAAATAGAAATACTAAAAAATAATCCGCTGAAAATGGAAATATTAAAAAAATATTCCACTTAAAATATAGAAACACTAAAACAATATTTCATTAAAAAAATAGAAATACTAAAAGAATATTCCGCTGCGAAAATAGAAATACTAAAAAAATATTCCACTAAAAAATAAAAATACTAAAAAATATTCCACTAAAAAATAGAAATGCAAAAAGAATATTCCACTAAAAAATAAAAATACTAAAAAATATTCCACTAAAAAAAAATACTAAAAGAATTTTTGGCTAAAAAATAGAAATACTATAAGAATATTCCATTAAAAAATACTAAAAGAAAATTTTGCTAAAAAATAAAATAATAGAGAGACCAAAAGAATATTCCACTAAAAAATATAAATATTAAAAGAATATTCCTTTTAATATATTATGGAAATATTACATTGGAATTTGGTAAAAAAATATTTTTTTTATACTTTACTATTTATGCAAAATACTAATCAACTTTTGAGCTATTTAAATAAATTCATTAATTTATCTTGAACTGGAAAAATTATAATTTTAAAAAGTAATATTCCTCTGGAATATTATAATATTCCTATATTGTAGATTCCAAGAATTTAAATAGAATTTCTTTTGCTCTTCGATTATAAATATAAAAAGAATATTTTGCAACGAAAATTGAATGTGGAATATTTTGAGTTTAATTATGATAAAGATTGAACGACAAGTAATATTCCAATGGAATATCGAAGAATATTCCAATTAATTTAAAAAAAAGTACTACATGCGACTGAACTATTATTTTTTTTTCATAA